ACAAGCTGAATTGATAACCTTGTTGACTGGACTGACGTCGCGATAAGATAAGCCGGAGATAGCCATTGCCATTCCAAGTAGTGCTGCCCGTTGCACTAGACTTCAATTCCTGTGCTTCCGCTGTTGCGACAGCAGCGCTAACATTGCCGCCTGCCTGTCTTTCGCGAGTTTACCATTCTCCATGTCCTCCTTGATCACCATCGTCCGCAGTAGTGCGTTCTATCGCTACCTCGTTCTTCTCAACGTCATGCCTAACCTACACCGCCCTTCGTCATAGAGTTTCTGGAAGCCATCCGATCAGTCAACCCACCCGGGAGGTGGAAGATCCTCGTCGTCGATGAGTTCTCGCAGAAGTTGCTAGGATCAGTGCTCAAGCAATTTGATATCTTGGAGGAGAATGTTACCTGTACGTGCTACATTGCTGTGCTAGGCAGGCTCGCGATGCGCGGCTAATGATCTGAACAGTGATTGAGAATATCGCGAACTATCGCGACGCACAACCTGAATTCGAGGCGTTGTACTTGATAATGCCCACAAGCCAAAATGTGGACCGGATCATCAAGGATTTTTCCAATGGACGCAGACAGTACGCGGGTGCTCATCTATTCTTCGTCGAAGGCGAGTTGTGGAACACAAATGCAAGGATTAACACGTATAGTTATGTTATTCTGTCACAGGTCTTGATGAAAGCCTCTTTGAACGACTTACAGCCTCTCCTGCTGAACCTTCACTATTGGGATTGAAGGAAATGTTTATCAACTTCTGGGGTACGTAGAATCGATGCGTGGAACAGTCAATAATAGTCTAACCGTCTGACGTTATAACTAGCAACGGAGTCACAGACATTCTCTCTCCAAGATCCCGGTCTATTCTTTAGTATTTACAGCCCACCACGCAGCGAAACGTCATACAAACCTGCGAGAGATCGTTTAGAGGAGGATTTGCGGTTTGCAAGTAAACTAGTAAGCGAGCTCATTATACCATCTTCTTCCAATATTCATCGCGTCGTTTCAGATATCAAACGTCTGCATCACCCTCAACGAGTTCCCTTACATCCGATACTACGTACCCTCAGGGCATCTACCTCTTGGTCCACTTAAACCAAACGCTCAGACGCGCCCACCCCCGCCAGCAGAAAATAACGGCCGATGGCGTACTAACCTTGCGCGTGGTGCTGATGCCCGCGCATATGAAGCTGTTGAAAGTGATTTCGTGACAAAGCTCCTTGCATTCATGGTGCAGAGCAACTTGGAAGACCACAAGAAAGCGAATCCTGACTTTGCGGTTAGTTGCTCGTACGACCTATGCATTATAATTTTATCCTGACACATTGCTTGCCTAGAGAACACCGGAATCAGTCCGGCCGCGTTCAACATTGATCATCACGGATCGGTCAATGGATATGATTGCTCCGCTCATACACGAATTTACCTATCAAGCAATGGCTAATGATTTATTGCCCATCGAGAATGGAACGCGTTATACGTATGTTTAATCTATTCACGCATTCGTGAGTTCTGATTGCGTGCAGATATAAGTTCCAGTCCTCTGTGGGCGCGTATGAAGACAAGACGGCGGTTTTGTCGGATTCGGACACTGTGTGGACAGAAGTCCGACATATGCACATGAGAGAAGCCATCGACAAACTAATGGCCGACTTTAATAAGTTCTTGGAGGAGAATGCAGTATTTAAAGGGTGTGTCAATGCATGTATTATCGCTGGTCACTCGGGCTAACTAGTTATATTTTAGGGAAGGCGCAGCAAATCTGAATGATATGAAAGAAATGCTTGCCAATCTACCTCAATATCAGGAACAACGAGAGAAGGTAGGACTTTCCTTTCTGTTTTCCTTTATAATACCAATAATTGGGCGATTTTTAGTTCTCGTTGCATTTGAATATGGCACAAGAGTGTATGGCTATCTTCGAGAGGGATAAGCTGCCTTTGGTGGCTAATGTCGAGCAAGTAAGAATTATATTCTGCCTTTCCAATTGCATGCAATAACAATTTTGCAGTGCTGCGCGACAGGACTAAATGCACAGGGCAAACCACCAAAAGGTCTTGTGGAAGAGATGGTACCCTTGCTTGACAGTCGGGAAGTTATGTGAGTCCGATGAAAAATCTCTATCAATGTTTCTAATATTCCAGTAGAAATGCCAACAAAGTACGAATCATTGCATTATACATTCAGTACAGAGATGGCGTACCAGATGAAGATAGACGGAGGTTGTACCAGCATGCTCGGCTGACACTTGCTGAACAAGATGCTATAAATGCTCTGTTGCATTTCGGGATCCGCATTAATAGAGTGCGTCTGCGCTAACTGACTTTGAATACGAATGATATCTGACCGTGCTTAAAGGGGCCGGCTGATCGCGATAACAAGAAGAAAATTAAGCAGAAACCTAATAACGATGAAGAATACGAGCTCTCTCGTTTCAAACCATCATTGAAGACGATTGTTGAGGTTAGTACGTCTTCTTCGTGTTGATCGTCGTCTCAATCCAGCCATTCTTTAGGATCAAGTCGCCGATAAGCTGGATAAAACCATGTTTCCTTATGTCAAGGAGTCACCATCTACCGCTGCCGTAGCACCTAGTCTTCGGTCACCACCACCCCCAACCGCTTCTCTGCGCAGTCAAAAGCCTGCATGGCATCGTGCACCGAAACCTGGAGCGGCCACTCATGATAACCGAGAACGCGTATTCGTGTTTGTTGCTGGTGGCATGACCTATTCAGAGCAACGAGAGGTGTATCAACTTTCTAATTCTTTGAACAGAGAGATATACATCGGTAAATCCTATAACATGTTATCCATTCTTCATATGCTGAACATTGAACATAGGATCGACACACACACTCACTCCGAGACAGTTCATTGACGATCTCAAAGTTCTTGATCTCGGCGGTGTTGGCTCCCGAGCAATTCCTAATGGTTTACGAGAGCTAACTGGTGGACAAAGATCTTATCAAGAGTATTACGACGAGAAGTATTTCACCAAGGACGCAGCTCCACCTCAGAAGCCACCGCCGAATCTTTCTGTACCTAAAGACGAGAAGAAGGCCATCAAACTTTCGCCGACGAACTCTTTCTCGGGCTCCGTCAATTCAATGACACCCTCTACCAAGGAGGAGAAGAAGAAAAAGAAGGGTCTGTTCCGCTTCTGAGAAACTTTTAAATTATGTTTGCACTTGGACGGAGGTATGTATGTACGGTAGTGTAATATTATTGATTTGAGAATGTAATTGTTGGCGTATACCTTTAATTCATGCAGAGATATTCTTAGTATAATTTAAAGTGTAAGAATGAATGTAAAATGTGATAGCCAGTAGCCGACAACAGAACGAGGATATATTACATAGATATCTATGTTGTATACTCCATCTTGGCTGTAAAGGTTTGTCAGTGAAAACTTGGCACATATACGAGAGTAACTTACTCTCATGCTTCTTCGCCTCGCCAACCTTACGGGCTGCCTTCGTTAGATCTTCCTGGTTCACATACTCCCTGTCATCACGAATGGCGAACATGCCAGCTTCAGTGATGACATTGCGGAGATCAGCTCCGTTGAAGCTATCCGAGAGCTGTATATTGTGTTAGATGAGCCGCGAAACAGTAAAGTATTGACTGACCTTGACAATTGCCTCATAATCGATGTCTTCGGCCTTGTTAACAGGTGCCGCATGAATCTTGAGAATTTCCAACCGTGCCTGTTCATTCGGAAGAGGAACCTCGATTTTACGGTCCAATCTACCAGGACGAAGAAGAGCAGGATCCAGAGTATCCGGTCTGTTCGTAGCCATGATGATTTTCGTTCGGCCAAGAGAGTCGAATCCATCCATTTGGTTAAGCAGTTCCATGAGCGTACGCTGAATCTCACGATCCGCGCTGGTTCCTTCGGAGAACCGACGACCACCAATAGCATCAATTTCGTCCATGAAGATAACACATGGTTCATGGTCGCGAGCATATCCGAACATTTCACGGATAACGCGAGCGCTCTCTCCAATGTATTTATCAACGATAGCGGAGGAGACAACTTTGAGGAAGTTGGTTTGCAGTGTGGCGGCAACGGCACGAGCAAGGAGGGTTTTCCCTGTTCCGGGAGGGCCATATAGTAGAACACCTTTCGGCGGCTTGATACCCACCCGTAGGAAGAGCTCAGGATTCAAAAGAGGTAGCTCGATGATCTACCCATAGTGCATTAGTAAGAGGAATGGGAGGGACCAACGAACGAACGCACTTCTCGCAACTCTCGGACCTGTTCACCCAAACCGCCGATTCCTGCAAATGAAGCTCCTCCAGGATCTTCCAAACTCATCTTATACACCAAAGGATCAACCTCTCGTGGCAGAATCCGCATTATAGTCAGCGTCGTCATATCCAGCGAAACACGAGTGCCGGCTTTCAGTTTGGCAACAGGCAGGGCTGGGCGATATGATACAACATAACGGGGACCTGATGATGCTTTCACGATAACTGCATAGTATGGCGAACTTAGTTGGAAGGATTACCGGAGCATGAAATGTAAACGCACATCGTTCATCATCCAACTGCTTCATGACCTCCCCAATGATCTGACCAACCGATTGTACGGCTTTAATATCATCTTCTGTCTTTTCAAATGCCTTTTCGAGATCTTTCAAAGAGAAACGGACTAGAAGAATGGAGAGTTAATAAAAGAAACAATATGATAAGGATGTACACGCACGGTTCTTCAAGTTCTCGCTACTTGATTCGTGATTCCGCATTTTCTACACATAGATGAGAACGAGGCCACGGGTGGCAAGCTGGAGTAAATTTACCTCTCGATACGCCTTGAGCGCATCCTTTCTGCGTTGATCCATTGCGCCAGATGATGTTGAGGCGTCCATTGTGAGTATACAAAGTAAAGAGTCCAGCACAAATCACGACGCGCAAGTGTCTGACGCGTCACCTTCCCACTTGAGCGATTACCTTACAGCCGCTCGAAATGTCTTGCAAGGGCCGATTTATATCGGCCTGATGGTCTAGTAGTATGATTCCTTGTTAGGGCATCCAGTTGGAGTCGTTTCGAGGAGGTCCCGGGTTCAATTCCCGGTCAGGCCCTGAGCTTTTTTATTATTACTTCCTATGTTCAGCATTACCATGAGTCATCTCTTACTTAACAGGCAATATCTCGAGCTCCGTTTACGCGAGGGAGGGGCAATCTTTTTTCATAGTGATAAATACAACAGACTTCATTCAAAGCTCATGTACATAAATAAATACACCACCCAGCGATTACAATTTCTATAGCGTTATGTACCATGTCACGAATCCAGCTGACGAGGAAAGGTTAATATAACATGACATGAACATATAGGCATTAAGACTCACTTCGTGCATTTCGTTCATCGAGAGTCGTGAAGATAAATTAAATATATAAATACCGTAATAAAATAGGTCATTATTAGTGTGTAATGGCAGTTTCCTCGCTAATGAATGTCTTCCATGCTGTACGAGTCGCAGGAGGAAATAGATATGTTGATTGGGTTGCGCCAACCCCATAGTATATTTTATCTCCTCCGGGTATATTGGTCGCCATGAATTTGGGATCTTCGCCTCCGACTACGTTGGTAGCACCAGTGCGGGAAGTAGTCACTAGCCCAGTCTTGTTCTTTCCGAAAAGGAACTCGCGAACGAAGGTGAAAGCCTATAATTGATTTCATTAGTACGCAATCGTACTGTCAGCAATCGTACTAACAGCTTTGGGCTTTGATTGTGGGACTAGATGACCAGCTGCGTAAAAGAGAACGTAAGTCCAACCACGTTCTTGACGGACGATTCCAGCGAACGATCCATCATCGTTCTTCCAAGGAGTTGATGGTTTGCGGGTGAAACCTTGGATGCCACCGAAGGTAGTATTCTGTAGTATGTATCTCAGTTGAGGAAAGCATGGAAAGAGGATACTCAAATATATATACCTGAATAGCAACTGAAAAGTGGATATAAGCACCAGAAAATATTTAAAGAGATAGCAACTTACTTTCAGTGCTTAAGTGGGGGATGAGAGCGTCGTCATTGCCGGAATATAGAATGATTTCCACTCCTTTGGCTGTTGCATTGGTTGCCATTTCAGTAAGGAAGTTCATAGGTTCTTGGCCTTTAAATTCACGTTAGAACTTCGACGACGATGTAAAGTACAGAGGATGCTTACTAGGATCGCGATCTAAATCAATAGTGTATTAGCACCATATTCAACGCATGGGAGAAAACTGCTCACTCCAGCCGTCTGGGTTCCCGAAAACAAACGGAAATTGCATAGACCACTGCTTTACTTGAGGGGCATGCAGACCAGTGACCGTGCGCGGGTCTGTGGGTTAGAAGTAAGTTTCACACACACACACAATAACAAAATTACATGAAATTTTACCAGTAAGGAAAACACTGGCATCCGCAGGAACCTTGGGGTTCAGAGCATCAGGAATGTCGTAAACCTAATATCAATGTTTTTAAATCGGGTACGGCTTAATATTGAACAAGCATTACTCACATTGAAACTGAAGCCAGGCGAGTCGGTCAAATCTTAATTTGATATCAGCATTAGACCAATCAACCGCAAAAGGCACATACTCCAAGGGAACGTGAAATTGAGAGCATAGTCGATAAATTCATCCAACAAGAAGCATCCATACTGCGAAGCCATTAGTATATTGTGACTGTTAGAATATGGGACCGAGCTTACCCAAGGATCAAGAGTGGTACCATTCCTATCCTGAATGCTTCTCTTCCAGAGTTCAGCGCCAATTTCTTGATCTCTCTTGTTGAGTTTCCTTTCGTCTAACTCCTCACCACGACGCAAGAGCTCCGTTAAGAAGCCTTTTGACGACATGGTGTTCTTAGTATACCAGGGAATTTCACGGTCCTTCGGCATTATGAGGGGTACAGATGGAATGATTCCATTTTGTGGGTATGTGAGATTAACATCATAGCCACAGAGATGTGTTTGATCTTTAAAGAACTTGTATACCGCTTGGTCGTAGCCGATAATTTGAGGGAAAGTCTCAATGACACTGAGCTAAATTTGAGAACATTTAGTATTATAGAGAGCGGTTATTTGAAGTACTTACAGCTGGCAACAACTGGAAGACCTGACCAGATGTGATAGAGCCATCGCCAATAGCGATTTTAGCAATTTTGACAGGAGGGTTCTTCATACCGAAGTATGCTTTCATGATATATGGCTATATTGAAAGATGAGGAACAAACGTTACACTCGAAAATCGTACGCACAATATATACGCCAGCATAACTCTCCCCCGTAAGGTGAAGAGGACGCGTTGCCAAGCTGGGAAAGACCTTTATGAGATTTCCCAAGAAACCCATCTGTAACGAATCAGGAAAATAAAATAAAAATTAAGAGCTTTACATACAAAGTCTGCGCCCATTTGATCCTCATCGGCGACTGTATAACGTTATGAGCTTTAAAGTAAAAGTAAATTAAGGCCGCCACGTACTGTACCCGTTCGCATCTGCTGTCGAAAAGCCGACACCCCTACATAAAATGATGACATTAGCCTCAGTGGATAACAAAGAAACAAAAAAACAAAACAAAAAAAGTGGTACTAACACTGGTTGATCTATCCAGAAGTAGTCAGCCAGTTTATCCCAGCTGTATTGGTTGGGTGACGCGCTATAGTCACCGTTGATGCGAATGGGCCCGTTCTAAGCGTGAAATGTCAGCAAACAAGAATATGCGAACTGTATCACGCGTACAGACCTCAAAAAACGCGCCATACATACTGGAGGATCCAGGGCCGCCGTTCAACCAGATCCCCCATGGTTCAGTTTTACGCTGGCCAGCGGCAGCGGTGAGCGATCCTTGTGATTTCTCGAAACCCAAAAAGAAGAGAGTGTTGTTGGGATGGCCTGCGCGTTGGACAGGGATGTTGCCCGCAAAACCGCGAGAAACAGGGAAAGTAACATTAGGGAGCTTATCAGTTATTTGAAAGTCTGTAATGCGGTTTCTTAGGATGATTATTCCTTCGTGTGTGAACTGAATCCACTCACATTTTTGCCATGCTGGGCTGAAGTCGCCTTTGGGTTGTCTGGGGTAGTTATGAGGGAAAGAGCTGGGGAGAGCATCTTGGGACGCGGCGAAAGGAATGTTTAAAATAGCTAGGGCGAAGTACCAGGCGCCTAATGCGGAAAACATCGTCGAACTGCGTTCCCTGTGTCCTGGGGGAATGATACTAGACTGTATAGTCTATAGATACAATTTATATGTTCAACACAATTATAGCTGTGTTGAGCCGTGACACACGATCTGTACAGTCAAGACAATTAGGAGGCAACGAGACGTAGTAGGCCATCGGGATCAGCTTATTGTCCCGTGATCGTGCCGATATTTGCCAGCAAGGAACGCTCGCAGTGCCCTCGCTTGGAAGCTGTATGGGGAACCGCGTCCTAGACTGGGACTCTTGGGCGGGAACTTACGAGTGCTTGGCAGAAAGGAAACAGAGCGCGAAGCCTGATCGCAGAGCCGGCAACAATATCAACAGGAACGATGAGATTGGACGGTAATATTTCTCCGAATCGCAGCAGGCATCTAAATTTAGCGCACTGAATGATATGCGTCACATCTTGTCACATCCATACGTAACGCGAGTCATTCTTGTAACTACTTGACTGTCCTCTATGCAGCACTCCGTTGCATAGAGCGAACCAACTGGTTGACAGCAAATCGCATCATGGCTAGGCGGAAACGTGTGCTTGACGACGGCGACGACTCCGATTCATCCAACCCATCCGATCTTGACTTTGACGATGACAACGACCCCGACGCTAGAGAGGAACGCGCTCTCTTCGACGACCCATACAAGCGCAAACGACGCAAAAAGAATGGAAAAGAGGATGCATTGTACGGCGTTTTTGGAGAGGACAGTGAAGACGAGGGACTTCGCGGGAAGAGCTCCGCAAGCACGAAGCGCAGTGACTGGACTAAAGCACCAGCTTTCGTCTCTGGCGAGAAAAAGGTGGACCTAGACAAGGAGATGGAGATGGATGTGGATGAAGAGGGTGTTGCTGCAGAAGATGAGGAAGACGGTGAGGAAGATGGATCCTCAGAAGACGAGGATGAAGCTGAAGAGGATGATGATGATTCTGACGCTGAATCCTCCAGGCCGGCATCTCCACGAATACGCATAGAGGAAGAGGATAAAGAACCACTAGAAAAACCTCGCATGGGTGGTATTGGCTCTCGAAAACCTGAGACAGGCGAGATGCCTACATTTTCGACAGGCGGTATTGGTTCATCTAAAGGCGGGATAGGCTCCTCGAAAGGAGGCATTGGCTCTGCAAAGAACGGTTTCGGCGCCTCGCGAGGCGGCATAGGGTCGTCTTCTACAGTTGCGTCAGCTTTTTCTTCCGCTGGGTCAGGCTCCTTCGACTTTACAAAAAGTGGTATGGGCTCCAAGTCTGCCACTCTTGCTTCTACATCTTCTCCTCCCCTTTCTCCATTTGCTTCCGATGTCCCTTCCGCCTTCGGTAGTCGAAATCAACGCTTCAACCGAGATGCAGCCCCCTCTCCTAAACCCAATCTACCACCTGACGAGCTCGCCCATTTCAATAAGTTGCAAGGTACATTTGGTGCTCGCATGCTATCCAAGATGGGCTGGCAAGCAGGAACAGGGTTGGGTGTAACAGGAGAGGGTATTGTGACGCCTATTGAGAGCAAACTGCGCCCGAAGAAGGCCGGTATTGCGTTCAAAGGGTTTAAAGAGAAGACCGAACAGTCAAAGATGGAGGCACGTAGACGAGGGGAAGTAGTTAGTGACGATGAAGATGAGAAGGTGAAAAAACTCAAGAAAAAGGTCAAGGAACAGGAACAGAAGCGGTCTGATGTGTGGAAACGTCCGAAGAAAGTCAAAACGAAGGTCGAGCACAAGACTTACGAGCAGATTATTGCTGAAGCAGGGCAGGAACCACCAACAGCTGCCGGCATTGGTCAAATTATAGACGCAACTGGTGCTGTGGTATGTTAAATTTTCATTGATATATATGACATGTCTTCTTATTATTTATCTATAGCCTCGTGAAGTATCGTCTTTGGCGGACATCTCGCTTAA